ACAGTTAAAGTAAATCTCTGCAAAATATTTAAATGCATAGCACATGAAAATAAACCAACTGTATAATACAGGAGTTATGAACTATATAAGCCCATATATGTCTTAACAGAATTTTCTTTTTTAACAAAAAAAAAAAAAAACATCCCAGTAACACCTGGGTTACACTCCCCCCTTTCTAAAGGTCTGGATGTCCTCATCAGACTGAACTAACCACTGTCACCAGGTAAGATACTAATAGTTAAACAGTTGACCACTCGACCTTGCTTAGTCAACTCCCCATCCCTGGATACACATATTTTCATTCCTTTATGCTGTATGACCAATGGATGGTCAGAGGGTGTCCCTAGTTCATCATAAGTGAAACGGATCACGGGCTTGACCATTCGTCTCTCTCGAGGGGCAATATCTCTTGCCTGTCCCCCGTTCCCCAAACTGTCATCTGTGAGAGACTCGACCTCTCCTGCGGACCCAGCACCTTGAAACTGGGGAGTGCAAGGTATCTCAGCACCACCCACTTCCGACAGGTTACAGTATTCATCCTCCTTCGACTCAACATGGTTTCCCAGGCCTAATTGCAAGTCATCAGTATCCACCTGAGTAATCCCCTCCACATCATCATGAGTCTGAGGTAAGCCAGTACCCACTTCACTACCATCACTCACTGACGGTGACGACCCATCGGGGCCCGGGTAAGGTGCATAGCTTGTCACTGTTGCAGGGGTGTATACACATTCATCATCCTCAGAGTCTGACTCATCGGGCCCCACTCCTTCGGATTTAGCACGACACTGCAGCCGTGTCCGCTCCACTCTGTGGACTGTTTCCATAGCCTCATCAGACCCTTCGGGTAACCTTACAAGAGAGCCTACTGGTAATAGGTGGTCTCGGTGCAGAGTTTTCACCACCCCTGCACCCTTCTCGGGTTTCACTCTGTACACAGGAAGGTTAGGCAACTTTTCTTGAACTACATAGGGGACAGAGTTCCATTTATCCTTCAGTTTCTGTTTGCCAGTGCCCCCAAAAGCACGAACAAGTACTCTGTCACCTACTTCTAACAAGTGGGAGCGAACTCTCTGGTCGTAGGCCTGCTTGTTGCGTTGGTGATTCTTGTCGGCTGCTTGCACAGCCAGTTCATAAGCAACATGCAGGTCTTTCTTAAGAGTCTCCACATATCTCTTGTGGGACTTTCCTTCTCCTCCCTCCTGCACCGAACTGAAACATAGGTCCACCGGGAGGCGCGCTTCCCGTCCAAACATAAGGAAGTACGGGGGTTAGCCAGTGGCATCACTTTTGGTGCAATTATAAGCATGCACCATAGCGGCAATTTGCTGACTCCAACACTTCTTCTTCACCGGGTCCAGTGTCCCCAACATAGACAACAAGGTCCGGTTAAAACGTTCGGGCTGGGGGTCCCCTTGAGGGTGATATGGCGTTGTTCTTGATTTTTTGATACCCAGTACCGTGAGCAGTTCCTTGATTAGCTTACGCTCAAAATCGCGGCCCTGATCCGAATGGATTCGGGCAGGTAGTCCATAATGGACAAAGAATTTTTCCAGCAAGATTTTGGCCACTGTTGAGGCTTTCTGATCTCTCGTGGGATAAGCCTGAGCATATCTGGTATAATGGTCTGTTACAACCAAAACATTTGCAATGCCACGAGAATCAGGCTCCATTGACAAAAAGTCAATACACACTAAATCAAGTGGGCCCTTACTGGTCATTTGGTGGAGAGGAGCAGTTCGGTGGGGCTGGGATTTGTGCGCTACACATCTTCCGCAGCTATATATGTAACTGGCAATGTCTGCGGCCATCCTGGGCCAGTAGAATCTGTCCCTGGTTAGTTCAATAGTCCGTTCGATGCCCAAATGCCCCCCATCGTCATGCAGAGCTTTTAACACCTGGGGACGAAACTGCTTTGGGAGGACAAGCTGGAGTATCTCTCTCCCTAACCTTTTACATATGGTTCTGTACAGGACCCCCCTCCGCTGAACTAGCCGGGGCCACTCTCGCAGCAATAAGTGAACCTCAGCGTCCTCACGTAGGGGGACATAAGGGCGCCGACCCCGTGCCAAGGCTCGTTTCACCTTACTAATGACCACATCTTGATCTTGAGCTAACTGTAAGTCATTTACACTCAGCTGTTCCAATGACTTAGCACTAACCCAAGTAGGGTGTACATAAGCATGGGGGATGCAGTCAGGAGACGCTCCGAGCTGGTCAACCCCTCGCGAAATAGTTCCAGGGAGATGGGATGAACTGACACTTTTGCAGACTGCTCTCACCCCTGATGGTGGTATCCATCCTTCTTCCTCTGCACTCTCTTTATCGCACCCTCCTTCCTTTCTTGACAACAGGTCTGCATCAATGTTCTCACGTCCGGGTCTGTACTGAATCCCAAAATTGTAAGTGGCCAAAGCTGCTAACCACCTGTGCCCACAAGCATTCAGCTTGGCAGAGGACAACACATAGGTTAACGGGTTGTTGTCAGTTCTAACGGTAAATTGGGCTCCGTAGAGATAGTCATGAAATTTGTCGACTACCGCCCACTTCAACGCTAAAAATTCCAACTGGTGGACTGGGTAGTTTCTCTCCGAGGCACAGTTTCCTGGTGGCGAAAGCTACAGGGCGTAATCCCTCAAGGTACTCTTGATTTAGCACGGCCCCTAATCCATCAAAGCTTGCATCCACATGTAAAATGTAGGGATACTGGGGTCGGCAAAGGCAAGCACGGGAGCATTAGTCAGGCAGTTCCTTATCTTTATGAAAGCCTCCGTACACTCATCAGTCCATCTATTCCCGAAAGGCTCAGACCTATTTAAATAGGGTTGGTCTTTGGTGGACTTCGGTGGGCGCCCTCTCTGAGGAGGGGCATAGCCTCTGGTCAAGTCAGTAAGTGGGCGTACTATAGCAGAGTAATGGGCAATAAACCGCCTATAATAGCCGCAAAAGCCCAAGAAGGACTGCAAAGCCTTGAGATTAGTCGGCTGTTTCCACTGGGCTACTGCCTTGAGCTTTTCGGGGTCAGTAGACACACCGTCGGCAGACACAACATGCCCTACGTATTTGACTTGAGTCTGGCAAAACTGACATTTGTCGATGGATACTTTTAAGCCGAACTCTTCTAACCGATCGAGGACTTTAAGGAGGCGCTCTTCATGTTCCTCCAGTGTGCGGCTGAAAATTATAATGTCATCCAAGTAGACAATGCACTGCAGCAGGTTCATGTCCCCTACCACTCGTTCCATTAACCTTTGGAAAGTGGCAGGGGCCCCAGTGATGCCCTGTGGCATCCTCTCAAATTGGTAAAAGCCTAGAGGGCAAAGAAAAGCTGTTTTCTCCTTATCTTCCTCCAGCATCTGTATTTGATAATAACCGCTTCGCAAGTCAAGCACTGAAAACCATCGGCTGCCCGTCAAACAGTCTAGTGCATCGTCTATCCGCGGTACAGTATACTGGTCTGGGATGGTTCGGGAATTGAGAGTGCGATAATCGATGCACATTCTAATCTTGCCACTTTTCTTCCTGGCCACCACAATAGGTGAGGCGTAGGGACTACGGGATTCTTTGATTATCCCTGCCGCCAACAACTCTTGTAAATGACGCCTCACATCGTCAATATCTGCGGGCGCAATACGTCTGGATCGCTCACAAAATGGTTTAGGATCACTGAGTCGAATCTCATGTTCCACTCCTTTGGCTAGCCCCACATCCCATTCCTCTACCGAAAAAACCCTTGTCCGGGCTGACAATTTCTGCGCCAACCTATGTTTCCAGGTTGCTGGTAAAGGGGAACTACCAAAATTAAATAGCTCGGGACATAGGCTACTAGTGGAGGACTGGCCCTGATCTACCTCTGTCACAACGTCAGCAGTATGTATTTGAGCAATGACGGTGCCCTTTGGGATGCACCGTTCTTTTAGGGACACATTTTGTAGCAGTACAGCACAATGATTCTTATCCAGGTTTTTTGGAAGGACCACACTGGGGGGTGAAGCAACCCCCTGCGGCAGGGTGTTGGAGTTGTCAAGGACCAATATCCCTGGAGCTCCAGGTGTGTGAATGGAGGCCCTACCTACTGCAATGCGCGCTTCTCCAGGAGTCAACTTAAGTGGTCCGGGCCCATTCCATGTTACCTGGCCAACCCTTTGTTCAGTCGGACCCGTCACCGTCCCCAATATACGGGTGCCAATCCTCCAAGATGCAGCCTGATGTGAGGTCGAAGCCATAGGGTCGGACACTGGTTCATGGTGGAAACCTCTAGCATTAGTGCCAATGATCAACGGTACCTGGTCTGGCCCTTGGGGGTCAGGACAAACCAAGGCCAGTACAGTTCGAGGCTTTTCACTGGGCCCATCCTCCAGGAACTTTACGTTAACAGCCACATAACCTTTGTATGGGTAGCTAGACTCACTCAAACCCCAAATGCACAGACTGGAAATGGGCTGGATTTTGATATGGGACAGATTTTTATTATACCACTTCTCAAAAATGATGGTGACAGTAGAACCACTGTCCATGAGTGCATTACACTCAGTCCCCTCAACAATGATCTTACTTACAGAGGGCCTCCCGACTAATCCATCCGGTAACCCGTCAGACGGAGAGGTGAGCTCGTCACTGCGACTGGACAGGTGCTTCACATGAGTGTCTGTGGTCCCTGCCCGGCTGGAGGATGCCTCATGTCTGCCATCTTTTTGTTTTCTCAATGACCGAATCAAGCGGGTAATAACTCTCCCTGAATCCTCAGGTGCCTCACAGCGCGTAGCGACATGGCCATCCTCCCCACATCGGTAGCAAAAATAGTCCCCTGACCCCTCTGATGGTGAACTTTTGCTATGGCCTGTCATTCGTCGGTTGTGTTGCTCATTGGTATCTCGGGGTCTCCATTCTCGAGGGTTAGGGGGGCGCTGGCACACGGCCATTATCTGTATGTGGTGTTGCAAATCGCACAATTGACGCTGTAACATGTGCACCTCCTGCTCGTGGTTTACTACATCCTTTCAGGGTGCTAGCACGGTTTCTGATTCCTGGGCTGGAAGACTGGGGCCAGAGTCCTTGGCAGACAACTTAGCTACCAGGACCTTAAGATGGTCTATCTCTTGCTTTAGCTTAGCCGCATCCTGGGGCTTAAGCTCGTCATCAGTAGCTCGTACTTGCCTAACAGCCGTTTTAGTAACTGCAAGGCCAGGCCTTTGCCGTACGGCTTGTTGGTCTTCTTCTTCTCTTATCTCTTTTAATAACTGCAAAAAGGATGGAGGTGTCTCTTTGCGTTCACGAAGCCTCAGCTGCACCAGCATCAAATCAGATTCCACAGCCCCTCGGAGAAGTTGCTCAACTCTTATACGATCTCTTTGTGATGCCATCACACCGCCTCTGAACACTACTTTAGTCAGGGCGTGTTCCATACGTCGCAAAAAGTCTGAGAGTCGCTCCCCTGCATGTTGTCGTAGCGCCCGGAAAGCATAGTATAGATCTTCCCCTGACTCCGCTGAACCAAAAGCTTGTTCCAAAGCTCCCAGATAATCTTGGGGAGTGGCTTGGGGATCGCTGGACCTAACAGCCTGCGCAATTTCAAGAGCTGGACCCTTGAGACTCTCAATAATTCGTTTGCGCTTTTCACTCGCTGAACATTCACACTCATCAACCATTAGGCGGGCCTGCATAAGCCAAGTATCTAGGTTCTCTTCTCCGTTGGGAGTAGGTGCAGTCCCCGAAAAGGGACGTAACCTTCGAAAAGCTGTATTCTCCGGGGCAATTGGCCTTGGGACTTTCTCCAGTATATCCCCCACTGTTTTTAGAAGAGCGGTGAAATGTGGGTCACTGGGACTGGAGGTGTCAGGGGTACCTGCTACTCCAGCATCTGAGTCGGTTGACATAGCTATAGGGGTGTCAGGGGGGACCACTGATTGAGCGCTTGAGTCAAGGGGTATACTTAGTTGCCATGGATCTCCCTCTTCAGGCCTCACTTCTGGGGGAATTGCATCGATGTTCACTGTCTGGCTACATGCACATAGCACCACAAGGCCCCGAGTTTCGGGATCAAACATCCGTCCTTTCACTTTGACACGTCCAAGACACTTAATAGCGTTAAGATGGCCCTCAATAGCTTCATTAAGGGCATCTTTAGGAACACTTTTGACTATTAATGCATGAGTTGGGTCTACCCCCTCTCCCTGGCACCAGTTCAGCAAAAATGACATTGTTACTGTTATCTTATTAAGTTTGTGCAGCTACTATTTTGGTTCGGCTTCAACTATTTTAGTCTAGACACTACTCCACTCACTGAAAATTTATTAATTAAATAAATAATTAATTAAATCAATCCCATCCTCGTCGCCATTTTATGTAACCCAAATCATGTCCTATGATCCCTTAAGGGTGGTGGGGTTTCTCTCTGAAGCTATACCTCTATACACTGGAACTATTCAGTGAGTGGTCAAAACTCAGATATATATATGTCAAATAAAGCATTTATTTTAAACACGCCGAACAACACAAATAATACTTCCCCTGTACACCCCCCTTTTACAATAAAACGAATAAAAAAATCAAATACTCCTCAGCCGCTAGGGCAAATAACCTCTAAAATGACAGGAAAAACCGTGTGGCCACACTATAACAAAACTCTGAAACACCTGCGCAGGTACTAAACAAAATAGCCGGCACATAAAAGAAAATACCCCCAAAAATAATCGTTGCAGGCCTGTTGTCTATGTAAACTGAAGAAATAATCCTTTTCCAAAGGTCCCTTACTCACAGTACGGTTGTTCCAGTCTTCCAGTGGAGAGGAAAAAAACAAATGTAAAAAAAAAAACCCTGTGTGCGAGCCGCACAAGATGTCCGGCCAGGTGGCTGATGAAATCCCTCCCACGTCGCCGGAGGAACCTCTGGCTTTCCCGGTCACCAGGGCGCTATCCGGGCAGCGGTGCTCCCACGTCGGCTACTTCACTGGAACCACTGGCTGTTCGGAAACCAGGGCGCTAACCGAGTAGCGTTGCTCCCTCGTCGGCTACTTCAGTGGAACCACTGGCTGTTCGGAAACCAGGGCGCTAACCGAGTAGCGTTGCTCCCTCATCGGCTACTTCAGTGGAACCACTGGCTGTTCGGAAACCAGGGCGCTAACTGAGTAGCTCCGAGCTACCTCTGGCAGGGGCTAACTTTTCTCGGCCTGCCCTCGGGCTGGGTTGAGGCGTATCAAACCGGCGAACGTATAAACTAAGCACTTAAACACTCACTACGGCCAAGTCCCTTCAAAAGGCCCCGCCGATTCGGTATAAAACAAACTCCGGTGGCCCTCCCGTACAGTTTCTCTCTTTTTCCTCCGGGCCCAAAAAAAAACTGTCGCTCGTTCTTCCCTCTTCCAGAAGACGGACCGCGCCCCCCACCGGGAAAACAAAGAAAAACCCGCCCCTCTCTCTTTTCTTTTGCTGCCTCTCTTTTGCTGTTCCTTTCTCTTTTAAATCAAAACAGTTAAAGTAAATCTCTGCAAAATATTTAAATGCATAGCACATGAAAATAAACCAACTGTATAATACAGGAGTTATGAACTATATAAGCCCATATATGTCTTAACAGAATTTTCTTTTTTAACAAAAAAAAAAAAACAAACATCCCAGTAACACCTGGGTTACATATCAAATTGTGAATCAGTTGTTTAAAATCTTAAAAATGGTGTAGTCAAAATTTAGGTTTGAACCAACATAGTGACAGGCAAGTGGAAACGGCATTAGGTTGTTGGTAAGTGTCTGATTAAAATCCAGGAGCTTCCTTGTTTTCTCCAAGTTGGTCTTTAATGATACAAAGCTCTGCATCTGTAACGGCTCAGAACAGAGGACCCAGAATTCAGGCAAGACAAACAGTAGAATAACTTATAGCATTTATTTAAACAAGCAGGCTGTGGATCCGCGGCATCAGCGGCTAGGGCGTCTATCACGGGAATGTCTGGTTTGACAGTTCAGTCTGTGTCGGCTGATGAGATGCAGCAAACGCTGCCAAAGAGTTCCAGACGCGGGAGCAAAGAAGGCTGCAGAGCAGACAGGAGATAAGATCCAAGCAAATGAAGGAAAGCAGGATAATCCACAGGGCGAAGTCAAGACGCAGATCCAGGTTCAGTCCAAAGAAGAATCCAACATGAGTATGAAGACAGGTCAGGCAAACAGATAAGAAAGGTGCAGGCAGGCTCAAAAGTCAGAATACAGGAATAGGTCAGGATCAGGCAATCAGAACACTATTAGTAACCCTTGAAAACTCTCTACACCAAAGGCTCAAGAAAAATCTGGCACTGATGGCTGGGACCAAGGATTTAAATAGAAGCAGAATCAGATGAACAGTGATGAAATCAAGCCAGTCGTCAGCACCAAAATCATGACGGCATCCACTCTTTGTACTCTAAGACAGCGGTCCCCAACCACCGGGCCGCAGACCGGTACCGGTCCTTCTGTCATTTTGTTACCGGGCCGCACAGAAAAAAGTATATATATATATATATATATATATAATTTATCGACAAGTCTGAGTGATGTCTTATTTTTGAAAAATATAAAAACTTGCGGCATTCTCTCACAATTACATCAGTCGGTGCATCTGTGCCTCTTGACACAGGTTAATTCAGTTCAAGACTCATCCTATCTATAACATCCTATCTTTGTGAAGCGGGATTTTCTGCGGTTACAGCGACCAAAACTAAGCTACGGAGCTGACTGGACATCAGGAGCACACTTCGTGTGTCATTGTCTCTGATTACGCCTAGATGGGACCGGCTTGTTGTTTTATTTTTATGCTGTTTGTATTTGATTTTATGCCAGTCGTATCATTTAACTTGATCGTATTTATCCGACGCCCCCCAACACCCTCACCGCACCCCCCCTCGGCCGGTCCGTGAAAATATTGTCTGACATATAGCGGTCCGTGGTGCAAAAAAGGTTGGGGACCGCTGCTCTAAGTCATCCTCAGCTGTGAGGAAAACTAATGCTGATAACTTTTCAAAGGATAAAAACCTTTGCGGATTAGTAAACAGTTCAGGTCATGAAGAGGAAGGATGCTACTACTTTCAGAACCAGCCTGTCATTGACAACTATACGTCCTTAAACATTGTAGGCAGACTCTGAGGTAATCCAGTATCCACTGCCAGAAGTGGTGGTTAAATTTGGTCTTCTCTAAATAGAACAACTGTTTATTTAAATGCATGATATGTGAACAAAGATGACATCCTTTCAAGTTCTGCAACACTTACTTATGTACTACTTATACAATAAATATATCTAACTTTTTGCATCTCTATGCCAAAGCTTCATTGCAGATCTTTTTGACCCGTTGGTGACAAAGTTGCATCTGGTGCAGCAGGTGTGTGGTCCTGAGGCTTCGGATCTGTTCCCCTTCTTGAGTGGATGTGGGTGCGTGTGAAACCAGCATGGAGCTCATGTTGCCTGCATGCCTTTCTCTTTCTTCAGCATGCTCTTGACTTGACATCGCCATAGGGCCCTAATCCTCTAATCAGCATGCCAGGAGAGCACAGAGGGGCCTTACCGGACCGTGGAGGGCAGGGCCCGAGGTGGCGCCCGACTCCAGCCACTCTGCCAGATTGTTTCAGCCACTTGTTGCGAGGCAGTGTGGTCTCAGCTCAATGCGTACTAAGGGATGCACATATCGGAGGGAGGACACACCCCTCCACCTGCATCTAATCCCATTCCTTCTTCCTTTTATTTCCTCTTCAACTAAAAGTACTGCTGTAGAAAAAACTGCATAGTGTTTTACTAGCAACTGTGATTTCTCTATAATAGTAAAAATAATATGCCTAAAGATGAAGTTTAATGTCAAATGAAGGGCTGAAATAGCCTGAGTTCCTCTTTGCTTAGTGTGATGCATCAGGTTCAAGACCACAGACAAAGCCAGGGCTGAACAGGGTGACTTAAGGATCTAGGGCATTGAGGAGAGATCCTTGGCATACAAACAATTAGCACTCGTCCCTCATAGCCCGGCGTGGCTCTAAATCCCCACATTTGTCTGGACAAATTGACCGGGCCCCAGGTCTTGTTTGTCTAGCTCTGCATGCCTTAGATGGGTGAATGGTGGGGTATACAGCCTTTAGCAAGCGCAGCTCATGGCAACAGAGCAAATATCACAGCCTGATACAGACAGGACTTTCTAATACAATTAATCTGAGCTTTACCAAGTTTCATGCTGTTAGCTTCTTTGATCTTAGGAGATAAGCACCAGTTCTAACTTGATTTTAACCAATGTAGATAGCATCTTCCATTTTTTGGCTTTTCAATATAATAATGGTGTAAATCCCTTTTAATGAAATGAAAATCAGGGCCTCTCTGTTTTGCATTGTATAGATCAAAAGATATGCCTCCACTGTCCACAGACGCACTGGTTTGGTCATGTGTTAAAAATCCTGTAAAAAAAAAAAAAAAAAAAACAATGAAGAAAATTCCAGTGAGGGGAAGAAAATCAAATGCTGTTCAAGTATAATCAGACTAAAATAACAAAGTAGTCACACCTATCACATCTTAAATTGATCTGAAAAATGTAATCTTAGTCTTTTCTGTTAGTCCTTACATTTAAGCTGTCTATGTTATTATTATTATTATTGTACAAGATGGGTTGGAGTTGATTATGACTATGAAACGTGTAGTTTAGTACCAATAGTTTTCCTAACTCCATGAATTAATTTAAACTTTGATTGCATGAAAGTTCAGTTTACTTCTAATTCAGATAGTTAGCATATTCTAACGTCCATATGTCTAGGCAACACATGGTGTTCTCTGTCATCTGACAACTTGGGGACCGTCACAAAACTAACTGGTAAAAGTCCAGGGAAGTATGGCTGCAGTGTTGGAGATGGAGGCGATTTTTACATATTGCATATGGGTTGATAGTGCTCTTTAGAGAGAACAAATTCTGTCTTGGTTTAGTTTTGGTCTAAGTTAAAACTTCAGTCAGAATAGTGGAGATTGAGCTGAACAGTCCTCCATAAACAGATGAATTCTTTTTAAAGCTCTGATAATCAGAGTAGAACATTTGCAAAAGGAAATAGCATTTTAAATAGATCTTGAAATATAATCAGTATAATGGGGAATGTCTTACATCTCAGAATATTTTCCATAAAATGTTATAACATAAATCTGTTTGAAAATCATATCATTAGCAATACAAGGAAAATAACAAGAAGCTTGATCTTATCAATAACTTTTAAACT